AATTGAAATGCTGGTAGGTCTGGATTTGAGAAACATCAGGAAATCTACTTATTTGTCACTCATTAAAACAAGACGCGCCATTACCAAAGCAGACGGGCACCCCAGGCTCTCAGTCGCTTCATTCAAGTTTCCTCCCGCTCTTTGCCACTCACTGCCTCCATGGCAACAGTCCACTGACCTGCCCTTAAGGGAAACAGCATCTCTGGCAAGGCTGAGACTTTTAATAATTCCACTTGTCAATTGAAGTCAGAGAGAAATGGATGGATTTGTACCAAGTTACTTAACAAACCTGCTAACAAAATCAGTGGCCCCCAGCAAGTGACCAGACCCATTGTCCAGAGTGTCCCTTGGGAAAAGCAAACATCACATCATTAGTGTCCAGCGAAATCTGCACCACTGACACCTGTCCATCAAACTCTTCACTGAGTTTAGATTCTGTCCTTCAATATTTACTTTATTTACCTGCTCCAAAAAAGGTAGCAATGTCCTGGATGGCCCATTCAAACTGATTATTGATCTGATTATTAATTTCCTCCAAAATTTATTTTTAATAAATAAATACAAAACTATCAGCAGGAAAGGACATATTTTGTTGCACAATTTTCCTGATAGGAATATCATCCAGACATACCAGTTTCTACTGACCAAGCTTCCTCTTGGGGGAGGACAAGGATCTAGATCTATCAGGTGCAATACCCAGGATCTAAACTCTCATCCCTAACACAGAAGAGACTCTCTTTCTACTCACCTCTTTTCCTTGAAATGTTCTATTGTGGAGCCTACAGTTTGTAACAGATTGCTTTTTTGGTGGCTTTGCTCTCTGATTCAGAAATATAAACACCGCTTCAGAGATTTATTTTACAATTCATCTCCTGATTTGTCATGGCCAGGAAGGTCAGCTTCCAGATATTCTATTCTAAATTACTTTTGAACAGATTTTGCAAACAGACTACGGAATGGCTTTCGTCTGGACCGGAACAAACTCTGAAAACTGGGACTCAAGTCCCCTCTCTCCTTTGTTAAAATGTAAACAATCAGAAACCCCACAATTTCCCAAATCGATTATTTGTAAAAGAACAAACAGGTGCTTTGGAGACACTGGAGTTATAGAAAGAAAATGGCAAATTATTTTTTCATGGGCCAGCTGCTCAACTGATGGGATTCTGGGGAAGGCTCTCCTAGGCTCTGAAGCTCAATTAGCAAATCAATTAAGATCATCCCCTCTCTGCCAACAGGACCACGTTGCCACCCTGTGCCCTCCTCCCCATATCAGGGCTTTCTGGTAAATCCCCATTGCCAATGCTGATGCCAAATCAGTCAACCTGAGGTTTCTGTGCTTTTCACTAACCATGGACAACAGGGGGACCAGGTCCGGTTTAATTAAGGATTAGCAACCAGCAGAAGGAGCAGTGTCGCCGTTCTGCCCTACCGATTTCTATCTGTCCAAGTCCTCCCTTGCCTTAGAAGCTGGGCTCAGCACAGACTCACTGGAAGCTGACTGGCGTGGCTGGCTGTCACCTTCAGTGGAAAACAGACAGGACCAAGCTAAGCAGATGGTCCCTAAAGGGGCACATCCCCAAAATCTGCCAGCAGACTGCGGTGGTAGCTTTCAAATAAACAGCAACTTGCTGGAGAGGAAAATCAGATCTCCCTTGCCACATCCTGCCACAGCTGCCCCAGCCTGCACACTCAGTCACTTGAGTGTTCTAGTCCTCAGAGGGGCAGCACCCTTGGTCTGGGGTGAAGGACAGCCTCCCTTTCTAGGCTTCCCAGACAGCCATGATCACAGCTAAAGCGCCTATATCTGTCAGTATAATCTGTGAGCTAGCTAAGACCATCCTCAAGAAACAGCTGCCCTGTGGGTCATAGACAGTCACCAAATCCTAAGAGAAGCAAACGCAAATACCACACATGTGGCCAGCAGTGGGGAATGAGAGACAGAGCCAGTGATGCCTCCAATGGCAACTGAAAACATGTCTCATCATAATGCCTCATCATACAATTTAGTGCAGTTTTTTTTTTTTTAAGCTTTCAAACTCCAGATAAACTCACAAATGGTTATTTGTTGAAGTCCTGGCTCTGATCATACCAGTTTGTGCAAGTCATTGAACATTTCTGGGCTTCGGTTTCCTCATCTGTAAAACGAGGGGGTTGAACTGGAGGATTTCTAAGGTCCCCTTTTGCACTCAAATTCTGGAGTTCTTTGGGTGGGTGGGTCTCCTCTAACATTCTGGCAAATCACACATATAATTAACTGCCCGTGTATTCAACCTGGACTAAAAATGGAGGCTTCCCATCACACCCGTGGCTCACCTTTTCCACTGCCGTGTGCTCTTCGCTCGTGACGCTCGCTTTTCTCGATTCATGTTTAGACCTGCTCAGTCTTCTGGATACCTTTTCTCTGAGCAGAGTAGCATATCCAATGTGCTCATAGATGGGGTTAGTTGTCATTTTGGAAATGTATTCAGCAGCTTTTGTTTCTATGTACAGCGTTATCAAGCCATCTGTCACCAGATCATGAATCGACTCAAACCTCTTCTCGCCCACAAAGTGTTTCCCATCGTGGAAGAGCCTGTAGTTTAAGGTCTGGTTTCCAAACCTGCCCACGAGAGAATGAGAGATTACAACGTGTTAGGAATAAGAACAGCAAGGGACAATAACAGCATTTTTTGCTGTGCACAGGGCTAAGAACTTGACATATTTTTCCCCATTCAATTATCATAGAAATCCTCCTAGACAGGTACAATTATTACCCCTGTTTAACAGCAGAGGCGGTGATGAGATGGTGATACCTGCCTGAGGTTATACACCTGGAGTGAGGCAGAGGTGGGCTTTAATTCCAGGCACTCACAGAGGGTCATCTGATCCTAGAAATCACTAAGGCCATTGAGTTATCATTCTCATTTGTAAAAGTCAGGGGGCAGTGCCTGATTTACAAATATCTTACTTATAATCTTCCTTAATGGGAACTAGCCACATCCCTCCACACCCTCTCCTGCACCTCACAATTGCCTCAACAAGCGATGCTACCACAACTGGACCTTATGTCCCCTCATCGTTACATCTTTGACCAACACCAGCAGAGGCCCTGCCCCCCCCATGCCTCCCACCGCAGTTAATGCAGCAGAAGGGAAGTGGGGGAGGTGTGCTAAGCTCCCTGCTTGGACCATCATTGCCTGCATCCCAGCAACCTAACCTACAGAGTCCCTCTCTTCAGCACTGGCTCTGCCCTCTGGGCCCTGATCCTTCATCTCATGGCCCCTGCTGGGTTCTCCACTGGGACTGTCATCTCCTGCTGCTGGGGTGTTGGAAGGATAGGAAAATACTTTGCATTCCCAGAGCACTTGGTAGTTTTTGAAATACTTCCTCACAATTATAGCACTTAAGATATGTTTTAGACATATCGTAATGTAGAAAGTGGAGAGGGGGCACTGAGTGCACCTTTGCAGGCTGCCTGGGAAGTGCTGCCGCTGACTTTGTTTCTTCTATGGAGAAAGGCCTTCTCAATTCCAAAGAGTTCATAAATGAACTTTTGGAAGATAATCCGACTCTGAAATTGGATACCTTCCCCAAACCTAACAGGACGGCAGTGAGGCTTAAACAACATAAAATATTTAATTACAGAAAATGCAGTAAAGGCAGTGCCTTTCAGGTACTGTGATTTTCAACACTGTGATTTCATGGTAAAAGGCTTGAGAGAATCCTGCTCCACTGGCTCGCTGGTGTGCAGCATCATGACTGCCATCACGACGGGATCTTTGGGTCAAGGTGACCCCTGAGAGTACCTGGTGAACAAATGCAGGTCCGGCCAGGCACACACTCAGGCATGGGCAGTGAAGCAGCCCTTGCATGAGTGCTGCTGGGAACAGAGGCAGAGACCTCGCTCCCCAACCAGCTCCATGTCTCAGGCTGAAGCGGCTGCAGGAACACTAGCTTTCCAGATAATTCTGCAGTTTACTGTGTGTCCATAAACAGAGCCCCAGTGTCCACGCCTACTGATAACATCTGTGGCCCAGGAAATGTATACAGCCTCTGATGTGCTGCCAGTGCTTTGGAGACAAAGCGAAAATAAAAAGTGAGCAGCAGGGAGGGAGAAATTGTTTATGGGCACCGAGTGTCTGATTGGGATGACGAGAGAGTTCTGGAAGGGGATAGTGGAGGTGGTTGCACAAAATGGAAAAAGTACTTAATGCCACCGAATTATACACTTAAAAATGGTAAAAATGGTAAATTTTATAGTATGTGTATTTTACCAGTTTTTAAAAATGGGAAAAACAAAAGTAAAGCCACCTATAAAGCTGAAAACCGTGAATGAAACGCAGCTCACCTTAGAGCCAACGTGTAGCATCCTGGCTGCCGCTGGCTTTCTCTAAGGATGTAGGCCCCCTCCACACCCCCGAGGAGCTCATCAGCCTGCTCCCGGGAGATGATCCCGTGAAACCTGGGGGGCAAGACAAGACCCCTGACCGTCGTTGCTCTCAACAGAACACATACGAAGTGGGGAGCACAAAGAGCCAGGCCGAAAAGGAGCCCCCGCCTGGATGGAGAGGAGTGTGGCTCTCGCATGTCTGGAAGACCCACCAGCACCCCCCTCTCAGCATGCCCCCAACAGAGAATAGGCATTCAAACAGGCGGACCAAAGCGAGAACATCCAGTCCACCCGGCTTTCTGCTTGTCTTTGTTCTCAAGCAGAAAATGAAAGTCAAAACAAAAAGCCAGGTTATGCCTCCATTTTAAACAAAAGAGCAATTACCAATTTAGTGCTCAGCTCAAACACAGAGAACTATGTATTATCCTGGCTGCAAATGAACCCTTATTGATTAGCAACCTGCTTGCTTCATGTGCAGGGTAGTGGTAATTTTAGAGGCTCATTCTCTGGAAAGAAGAGCTATAATCTACATTCTTTCAGTCCCTTCAACTTGGAGAGCAATAGCTTAGGGATATGTTTGGAAAATGTACCTATTTTTCCTTTTTAAAAGATAACGTTTATCTTCCTTTTCTACCATTCTAAAAGTAACACACATGCGTCTAGAAAACATGGCATATCTGGAGAGTTGCAGGCTCAGCCGATGACCGCTTTGTCCTGGAGATGATGTCTAAGGCCAAGAGAGTGGACAGTAACTTTGGTGAAGAAGAGGGAGGAGGTGGGAGTTGGGTCAGGAACCAGCCCGCTTTCCCTGTTTCCTCCCATCATTGAAGATTTAATCAATGTTTCAGAAGAAGGTGGATGGGCTGGGTTGGGGGATGAGGCCGGTGCCCAGGGACTTCAGGCTCCTGGGACAGGGAAAAACACCTCTTTCTAGGATTACCCAATCTTGGAGCACTTTGGGGAATAAGTCAGAAATTTTCAGGACCAAGAAAAACTTTGACCTTCTTAGAAGGGAGAGAGGGGAAAGGGAAGTCAGCTAGACAAGCTTTGTTTTCTTTCATTTTCCCCAGGAATGCAAAGATTAAGTTAGAGGACAAATGTAGTGGGATAAAATATGTCCATCACAATATTTATTTCCTAATTCCCTCTATCCTTGAAACGTAGACCTTCCAAGCTGAAGCTCTGGTCCTAGGGGACGCGGGTCAGAAGCAGCTGTGGCTTTGTGTTCTGGGCTCTGCACTTAAAAGTCCGAGGCAGTGACAGCTTGGGAGAAAGGGGTATTCTGGTTACCCAAATTTTGGGCTTAACTCTCAAGAGCCAATGGCTGGAGGTCGTGGAGCAGCGCTATCTGACATGAGCGTGAATGTGCTCAGACGTAAGAGTCACTCTCCTGCCCAAAGACAGCCCAGTGTCCCTAGTTCTCATGAGGGTCATTAATCATGAAGATGAAGCTCTGATGGGTAAGGGAATATAAGAAGAAGGTTTTGGATCAGCCAGGAGAGCTGGGAACGTAGACTTGGAACAGACTTTGCCTCCCAATCCCTCCAGGCTGGATGTGGGAAGAAAAGCAATTAGGGCATCTCCTCCCCCTCAGGACTGTTCCACCTGCCCTCTGTAAGGTGTTCTGCACGTCACAGTCTTAGACTGCATTATTTTTATGGTTACACATATTTGCTTTGCAGTAGGTTCTGAGAAAGTAAAACAAAACAAGAATTGCAATTAAGAGGAAAATAGGGGGTGGATAATAATGATGGTATTGCAATTTGGCTAATATATCCAAGTCAAGAGAAATCATTGTTTTAGTTTTATAAGACTGCAAGGAAATGGGATGTCCTTCCTGAGCACTGCATTTACTGAGGGACATGAAAGTCAGGAATGATCTTTGACACCACAACTGTTTATACCGTATTGAGGTGGAAAGTGAAGTAAAAAATGCTAACAGAGAGCCTCAGTTGTGAAAAATGCTGCCTTACATTTAAAATATTTGCCAGGCACTCGGTAGCTGCTTCTGGGGAGAGAAATATGGCACGAGACACCCTCCCTCCCACATTAACAGAAACTGAGTACCTGAGTGTTCTAAAGAAAATTCAATACAAAGGAGCCTGGCTGCATTTATCCTGACTCTTAAACTCTTGCACAATGGACAAGTGATGAAGACCGTATATTAGAGAATTCTTAATTTTTAATATTGAAATGGCACACGAAGTGACTATTTATTAAATTATTAAAAAAAGAAAAGTATAATACATACTCTCTTCCATAATATTTTGGTCTGTTTTCCACCTATATTAAAAAGAAGAAAAATATTAATAATGCATTTGAATTGAAATCGGTTAGATAAAAATGCTATTCAAATAAACAGAGATAGATTCTTGGTAGTAATTTTATTACAGATTTTATTCCCCAAATCAGAGATCCATGAAGATATAGAGCTAATCAAAACATTTCACTCTCTTGAGTAAGAATGTTGGCCACATTTTTCTTATAATTAGGTTCATTCCCCACCCAAACCCAACCATTCAATAAAAGAATTTTCAAAGGAAACAGAGTGATGCTTATTTTAATATTAATGAACTTATGAAGATATTACAAAGCTTCATCCTGAAGGACAAAAGAACTCTTTCTAGCATAAATAAAATATAAGCATTTATTTAAATCTCCATTTAATTGTTTTGTTAATGTATTTATAATAAAAACAAGAAATATACATGGGTTAAAAAGTAAAACAGATTTAATTTGGTCTCTTTCCAAATAAAATCAATATCCTAACATTCTTATTTTTCAATAAATGGCTAATGAGCTGAAATTCATTTGACAGCAGAGTACAGGATATGGATGTCAAGATTTATGACTTGACTAGAAATCACAAACATTTCAGAAAATATTTTTCAATCATACCTTTAGCCTTGGGGTTATCACATCAGATTTTTATCACATATATGATAAACTACTTTCATAAGAACTTTGTTTTCTTATGATGATGGTGTTGAAGTTGGTGAGAAATTAGCATGAAATCTTACGTTCAGCTTTTGTTCTTCTAGGCCAACTCCAACAACACTCGAAATATAGCAGAGCCGCATTAGGTTATGGATTTTTATTGAAGGTTATACGTATGACAACAAGTTTATGTTTATTCATGGAGTAGAATCTGAGCCTGGCAGCTTTTCATTTACGGTCACTTCTGTCTACAGTCAAATGGGCAGTTTTCTCAGCAGGGCTCACAGATGGACATGGTGGTGGGATTTCAAGGTCCTGGGCAGTTTCCTGGCCTACCTCCACCCTCCAAAGGACACAGGGCATATGAGTGGGCAGTAGAGCATGACGGACAGGGGACTCTGAGGGGGAGCCAGGACTCTGAGAACCACACTCACAATTCTGCCGAGGACAAGCCTCGCTGGCATAAAACTAATCATCTAGACACTTCCAAATATGTGTTCACTCTTCTGTGCATTTCACACCTGAAAAGCACTCAACCAAGAGGGGCATTCATAACTCTTAATCTCAAGGTTTGAAGCCTGCTCAGTGTGAAGGAAGATTTAAATAATGTCATTAATAGAAGCACAAAGTGTGTAAAAAGGTACCTTATAATCCAATGTCCTTTCTGTAAGTGACGTGTGCCATTACTCTACATGCTGGCAAGCTTTTTAATATGAGTTGCACATTTTGTCACTTACATCATTCTGTTGGTTTTCAAAGTTCTTTCTTACTTTTATAATATGGTAGATATGTGATTGCAACACCAACGAGCCACAGAAGAACGACGGAACAAGAAAAGCCAAGGGACGTACACAATATAGAATGGCAAAATATCTCTCCATTCTTTGAGAGGCAATATTCAAAAATTTGAAATGATTCCCTATACATAATAGCAATTTTTATTTCCATTGTTTTGGCTGAGCCATAACAAATGTTTGCAAAATCTGGGTGTAGCTTCTAACCCTAGTCCCTTTCTCTATCCTCTTATTTCCCCCAAACAGAAAGGGTAGTTAATCTAATTTCCCAGATAGACAGTAGATAAAGCCTACTAACTCCCGGCATGCAGGTAAATCATTAATAAATGTTGAATTTAATTGACTCATAACAAAACAACAAATAGCTTTCAGTTCCTCAATCAATCATAAAAATACATGGCACACTTATTAGTTCAGGGCTCTGTGCTCTGTCCTCAGGTCATTGCATGTGAAGTCATGACCTTGCAGGTGAAGAGAGAAAGGTATGAGGAACTTGGGAGTTTTCTGCACCTGCAGCAGGAGGGAGACATTTCAGGAGAAATCTAACATAGGCCCCCAAACAGGGAAGCCAACATCTGTGGTGCCTGGAGGTATATCAAATAAGATCATGCCCGGAGGAGAACTTGATCCAATTGAGGGACAAATTTTCTGAATATGAAAAGCCACTAGAAAATAAAACAAGAGCATTGGATTGTGTGGGACAGACTGCACATAGAATAGGGCCATGGTATACGTCCTAAGTATTGCATGAGACATATACTAAAATATTATTCCTTGGTTATGTGAAGTTCAAATTTAACTATGCATTCTAGCTTTCTTTCTTTTTTTCTTTCTTTTTCTTTTCTTCTTCCTTTCTAAATCTGACAACCCCAGCTAGGGGGAGAAAGATGGAAGAGAACAAAGATGGTGTGCTTGGACATCTGACCACTGCTCCTACGGGTCAGGGGCTGTGTTGACAGCAATCTGATTCAGTCTCTCTTCCCTTTGTTGTCTCTGAAGCTCTTGAAGAAAATAGAGCTGACCTTGTTCATGTTCGGAAGAGAGAAATAACGGCTGGGATAAAAAAGAAAACAAAAACAAAAACCCTTTCTTTTTTCTAAACTTTTGCTCACAGTAGTCTAAACACAGTCTCCATCTCTACACTTCACTAAGCTTTAAACCAGTCAAGAGCTTAATTTTTAAGTTAAATGACCCTAGAAAAATCATAGAACATGCACAGTTTGAGTTGGATAATACTGGATCCTCAGGTCTAGACAAAACACAGTTGGCTGGGTGTCAGGGCTCCTAGGGACAAGGGACCTGCCTGGAGAGACTAGTAATATCTATGCTGTGACCCTGCAGGGCCTACAGAAGCCTGACTCATTTGCTCCCCAGGCCTGGCTCCATGTCTGTCACCAACAGGAATCAGGACTCACCCGTGAAATGTGAATTTGTTTTATTAAAGAAGCTGCAGCACTGAATTTCAGTTTCCAATTGTAAGAGATTCTTTTCAGTGAATGTGAATGAGACAGAGGACAGCTGATAAATAAAAATATCTGTGGTACCTTGAGGGATACCAAATAAGATCCTGCCCAGAAGGGAGTTCAATGCAATCGAGGGGTCGAACTCAGAGGTTAGCTCAGAAGTTCTTCTTGCATTCTCATGCAGAATTATGTTTGTTAAAATCAGGCAACTTGGTGAAAAAAATGGAGGACTAATTTAGGTGGTCACACGGATTCAGAAAGCACCAAAAAATGTAATGTATTATCACATGAATGAAGGTTGTCTCCGGAGCTTCCCTGCCACTGTGATTATCGTAGGACAGCAGCTGGATACTACTAACACACGTGAAATCTGCTGTGCCTGCTCTTGGGATTTGGCGCTTCAATTCCAAGAAGCAATATACTACCCTTTTTAAGAAAAAGAAAAAAATTTAATACTAAATGTATCCTCTAATACTGGATCCTTAGCTGATCCACCTGGTTCAGAAAGGAGTGCCTCTCCTTACAGAAGGAGACGACCAAGTCGGAGGTCACTGAGAGAGCAAACACATGCACTAGTGGATTCAGTATGTACCTGTTGTGACTGTGCAGAATGGTGGCTGATTATTTTTAAAAATATAAATGAACACTTTATTCTAAATAAGCATCATCTATAGGAGAATAGTCTCCCAGGGTGGTCAATACATGCCACTCATGTCCCTGCTGATCAGAACACTTTTGGAATTCCTCTTTCGGAACTCCCTTAAGACATACTACACTTTCTCTTGAATATCCTTATGGCTGCATTTCTCAGTGTGGTCTGGTCATTCAAAACAGAAACTTCAAGATGCTTGTTAATAAGATTACAGATTCCTGATCCCCACTTTGGACCAACTGAGCCAGAATTACTGAGGGGGTGGGGATATAATGTGTTATTGAATCAACCCCCCACCCCAGATGTTTTTTAAGCTCATACTAAAGTCAGAATCACTGGTATATAAAAATACATATTTGGTTTTTGAGAATGTGTTTGAGGGTGGATGTTGTTTCAGCAAATAAGCATAAGTTATTCAGAGCCAAGAGCAGTAAATGGGGTGAGTGATCAAACTAGGAAATACATTTGAGACCCAAATGAGACATAATCATAAGATAAAATTTTCACTGTGACTTACTCTGAAGGTATTTTAGAAGAGACATTCCCAACATGCTCTGAGCATTAGAAACTTGGCAGAAATAAAAGCAGAGCTTCCCAAGATGACTGATGGAAAAAGACCATGCTCATGTAATATATGTGTTAAAACAAAATCTATTCCATGACTTCATAGTCACACCTTAAATATAATTAAATTGCCGGCACTGTGACTACTGAAGACGGTTTTGGTCCTGTCTCATCCTGTCCACACACTGTGTCCCATGTATGTGAAGCCAAGGGAGAGGACGGCTTCCGGCCTACTGGCCCCTTCACGCCATGTTCCTCCTCTGTGCCAATCTAACCCAATTACCTGCAGTTCCATAAGTGCACTCCCTCCAATATGCCCACCATTTTTTATATATTCTTATTTTAAGGTACTTAATCCTCTTTCGAAAGGAGCAGATCACATGACGGTTGAAAGGGTGGGTTCTGGACTCAGACCACCTAGCTTTGAGGCCAATCTGTGTGACCTTAAGCAAGTTACTGTTTCTCTGTTCCTCAGTTTCCTCATCTTTAAAATGGAAATGAAAATAAAAGTACCTGCCTCATTGGGCTGTTGTAATGCTTAGACATGTAAACATGTGTAATGTGCACACAGAGCTGTTCAATGAATAGAGTTGTTTTTACTGGTACCCAGAGAAGTCCTCCTCTGTATAAAAGGAAGAATTAGGCCCATTCTCTGCTGTGTTCTTGCTCCCTTTCACATCTCCATTAGAAAACTTATCTCACTGTATTTTAAATATTTACTTGCTGGTTTCTTCTCTAACTACTCTGTGAGTTTTTTATTTTTATTTTTCCTTTTTGTCTTTTTTCGTGTCCGGCAAGGATCGCAACCCTCAGTGTCACGCCCGTACCGGACCAGGACCGGCAACGGGATCGCAACCCTCGGTGTCGCGCCCGCACCTCGCTCAGCCAGTGAGCGGGAACCGGTCTGTATGTGGGATCCGAACCCTCGGCGGGAGCACTGCCGCACTCCCAAGCGGCACACTGTAGCAGTGCGCCACTGGGCCGGCCCTCTGTGAGTTTTTTGAAGTGGTGATTTTCTACTCATCATCACTGTATCCCAGGATTTCTCCTGATGTCTGGCACAGAGTAAATGCAGGCACCCCTGTTATTTGTATCTAATCCGTTCCTTAAAAATACATTGGGCAGCAAAGTTTCAAATGATGAAAGCCTATAGTCTATTACTTTAGATGGAAAAAAATAATAATTCATTTCTAGAGCATCCAAAAATATCAATTTTTCAAACATTACAAAAATGTCCCTAAATAACTGTGAATCTAATAAGAATTTTTGTGTAACATAAAACATTTAAAAACCAATTATCTAATGTTTAACACTTAATGAAATAGTGAGTAGGTATGTTTGTGTGCAGTCTACAACCGAATAGAATAGGAATCTCCTTCTACTTTGAGCATGTACTATAAAAAAATAAACAATGAAATAATTTTGCCAAAGATTTGAAAGTTACTATGTAATTGTACCTGAGTTGATGGTACTAACAGGTGCCTGGCCTAAACAAATTCCAAAGGGCTAACCCCTAAGGAAAACGGTAGGGCAATTACAGGTGTAATGTGCAATATGTTTAAGCAGGGGCAGATCAGGAGAACACTGAGGTATGAGAGAAGCCCACCCCCCATCTTTGGGAACCTTGCTACTCAAGGTGTGATGTGGGAAACACCAGTATCGGTGCAACC